TTGGCAAATTTGTCTTATTAATATTTGTTAACTTACATTAAACATAAATTTTAAGTATAAAAACAATAAAAAATTTTTATAAATTTTTATAATATTTAAATAATTATTAATAAATTTATATTAAAAAACCAATTTCAAAAAATTATGAATTATCTTATAAATGCAAATATATTTTAAAATTAAACAATCTTATTTTCAAAATAAACAAAATACATCTGAATTTAAAAGATAAATATATGTCAAACAAATACTTCTTCTCAAGTTAAGAATATAAGCTTTAAAATGATTATATAAAAAACATAATGTATATATAAAAATATTTGTTTAAAAAATATATTATTCTATAGTAAAAATCTCAAATTAGGATATAACAAATCAAATTAACAAGAACTATTTCTTTGATAAATAAAACAATTATTAAAAAAGAAAAGTAAACATAAAAAGACATTATATAACAGTTATATAATTTTTTACTTAATAATTTAATATAAATTTTGAAATCCAGATTATTCTTCATTTGCTTATAAACTTTGAATATGTTTTTTAAATTTAATAGAAGATATAATAAAAAATAACTTTACTTATATCTCCAACTTAATATTTTTTAAACTTATAAAACTTATCTAAAAGCAAGTGAAATTTTTATAGTAAATCTTTAAAATTTAAAATTAATGTAGATTTTTTTTGCTGAGTTAAAATTTAAAAGTTTACTATAAAAATTTCACTTGCTTCTAGGTAAACTTCATAAGTTTAAGAGATATTGAGTTGGGGATATGAATAAAATTATTTTCTATCATATCTTTGATCAATTTAAAAAAATATTCAAAAGAATAATCTTGATCTTAAAGTTTATATTAAATTACTAAATAAAAAATTTTTTTTTATTATAACAAAAATTTACATCTAAAATTTGTGAGAAAAGTCATGTAACTGATAAGCTTAATAACAAAGATATACTTTAAATAAATATAAATAAACCAACTAAAATATATATAGTCATTTAATATAAAAAAATATATTAATAACAAATATATTAATTGTACTTGTAGATCAAATTATAAAACATATCCAAATACTAAACAATAATTATAATGAAGGTAATAGACATTGGCTATATACTGTATATTAATAGAAAATAGAACAATCAATACAGCTTTAAAGCTCTTAGAACTAAGAGTATTGATAAATATTACTGTTATTGATACAGTAATAGAAAAACTCCTAAAAGTACTGAACTGGTATCAAACTGGTATCAAAATGGTACTAATCTATAATAAATTTAATATATGGGTTATAACCTACTTATATAAATTTATAATAATTTAAGTATTGAATTGGTATCAAAGTAGTATCAAAATAGTATCATTAGAAACTCTATATATGCTTAGTAATAAATGCTAGTACCTGATTACATTTACTGTATCTTCTTCACTTTATATTAAATAAATGATAATCAAAATATAACTCTATAAAAGATGCAATTTTTCTGATGTCTTGCAAATCAATATGGCATTACAAAGGTCTTACAAAAATAAACTCATCAAACTTGGTTTTACTTATCTTAAATAAAAGGAATCTGCATGTCCCACAATTAAATTTCTAATCGAAATTCCTTTGTATAAATGCACCCATTTATCGTTTTGAAAAATCTTTCCACCTTCTCGCAATTATTGCTTAAAGTCAGATATTAAACAGATTAATTATTTTTGATGTCTCATTACATTGCTATCTAAATTATTTTTTCTGAACTGGAGAGGAAAAAAGCTTTAACAACCACTATTTTAATTTTTGTCGTTGCAAAACTGACTTCTGAAAATATCTATTTGCATATAGGATTCATCACCATGTGGTTCTTCTTGTGGGATATAAAAGCAAGAAAATGCCATTGAAACAAACTCTCATGAAACAAAAATCGACACTAATATCACTGAACAAGTCGGCAAGATCAAAATTGAAATTAATAACGATCTTATTACAAAAATAAGTTTCCATGATGCTAACTATTCAACGAAGGTATAGAATATTATTAACATGATAATGGAAAATATAACGACATCGAGCGAGTTCTAGAAACCTACCATAATAATTTTAGTCAAACTACAACTGATTTCGAGTCAGTCAGCAGGATGTTAACAATATTTTTGAGTGAAATCGATTAACAATACTTCCTTATCTAGATTGTTAATAGGAGAGGATCTGACCTGCAAAGCAAAACTTCATCAAATTCCTCAGATTTAAGTCGACGATCATTTTCGGGTATATCTTCAGTAATATGGAACAAATTTAAAATTATTTTTGATAAAATCATGGAAGAAAGAAATGATCTTTAGATGACATGTGGGATATTGTCATTGTTGATATTCTTAATCTTGGGGTCAGAAAACTTAGTAGAGTTGTGATCAAAAATTATTATCATAGAATTAATGACTTAAAGGGTAGTAGTAACTTGGATAAAATAGGTGAAAGCAGTTAATAGTGTTAATAGTGGGTAGCAGGAAAGGAACTGCCATTATATGGGTTAGGGCTCGGCAGGTTCAAAAGTAATTCGACTTGGTCATTATTAAAACTCTTACAATACAGGCAAACACGGGACGGTCTTTTAAATAATAGTCAAAAAAGCATTAGAAATATTATCTGTTCGTGAGGATTATGCAGAAAAAGCAAGAAATTGTTTGGCTACTCTTGAAGTTAAATATAAACAATTGAGATTGGACAATTTCATGTGTTCAAGGACTAGAACACGTTCCGGTCCCGAGACAATAACGTGACGTGTTGACAACCCCCGAGTAGCTGGCTGACTACGCCTTGGCCAGTGATAGTGGACTACGTCTTCCCTCGGTATCCTTGAACTAAGAGCTAGAACACGTTCCGGTCCCGAGACAATAATGTGACGTGTTGACAACCCCCGAGTAGCTGGCTGACTACGCCTTGGCCAGTGATAGTGGACTACGTCTTCCCTTGGTTGCTCTTACATGCTATTGCCATAATGTTTAATCAATGTTTAGTCCTTTAATAACACAGAGGTTTCGAGATTAAATTATTTTATGCTAATGGCCGTTTTTTCCCTAGCAGAATGAGAAAACTTCTTTGGCTGTCGATGAATTTTGGAGGATGATTGATAAAAAACGATGCCATGACGAAATCGAACTTGAAGCGGTTTATACAGTAATTATCGTCTATAAATATTTTCATATTTCACAAGTGACAAACTTTTATCGCATTAAATAGCTGGAGTATACAAAATGTGCATTAAAACGAACAACGAAACACGCTGTATACGTGCTATAACAACCAATAAAACGATTAGAAGGCTAAGACACGGATCAGGAGATCAAGCCGAGGAATATGGAAGTCAAGATCCAGAAGAGGTACAGATAGAAGTTGTAAAGAATAGAACGCTGGCTTTATTTTAACTCTTTCTTTTGTGTTTAGTCCGATGATGACTCCCAACCGGTAACTACTCGACGAAAGCCGAAAAAACAGATTTCACTTTCAAAAAAGGTTAGGAGTTTTTTTGACACAAAAATGATGTCTTGAATGTTAAAGTGAGCTTTTTTATAACTACTTATCACGGAATTTCTTATTAATTTTTCTACTACCTGTCATATATGAACAGGTCAAACCCACCAACAGAAATGATCAAGCCGAAAAATCTACGAGTTCTGATCTTTCAAAATCACATCTAAAGGCTAAACCATTATCATTAGTTTCACAATCCCAATCCTTGCCAATTGGGATAGAAAGTATACGGTCTAGCGAAGTTAGTAGTCCTGAATATAATAGACCAAATACTCCGCCTCATCGAATTGTTAGAAATACATACAACCAAGAAATTCCGATCAATGAAAATATTTTAATAATGTCAGCTAAAAACTTAGCGAGTCTAGATGAATCTAAGGTATTTGATGATGTTATTTTAACTAATTTTTTTTGTGCATATCGTAAATACTCAATCAATCGTTTTCATTGAGTAGTATCTCGGCGAATTTATTCCTCTTTTTGTAAAATATAAAGAATCAGAAAAAAATAATGCATTTTTGTAAGTGTTTGAACTGCTATAAATGTATCTTATAATATTATAGTTAATATCTTCTCATTTATAGTTGTGCTAATGACGACGTAATGGATATTCGAGGGGAAAGCAGTGTTGCGAGATTTTTGTCAATCGACCAATTTATAAAATTACTATCAAAAAACCAAATAGAAAAGCTAAATTACCGGAAGACTGGCGTAGTATTATTGAAGAATATTATAAAGTAATATAGTTTGTGTTTATTCACAAGAATTATTTGTTGATCGATCATATTATTTTACAGGGGACAACTGAGAATGGGTAAAAAAAAAGTGTATCCGATTGGATCATTGCTACAAAGGAGTTAAATGTTGTAAAAAAGGATGATACTGAGGAGATGACAAAACTTAAAGATTATTTAAACCGAATTGTAAGTATTGGTCAGGGTGTATTGTAATTATCGCCTATTATAACTAATACTTTATTGCAGGATTGAGTCATTCGCAAAACCTATTCCCGATGTTAATGCATCTGATATTAATGAACACCATTACTCGGCTGAATTTGGTCATCGTTTTTTTTCAAGAGCGTTACAAGAATTTGTAGATATTGATTGGAAGGTATAAGTATTTGTTGTTTTCAAATTATACTATAATCAGCTCCATAGTAGAACTTCCAACATAATTTTTTTTTATTTTTAGCATGGAAGCCCCTGTACTGGCTTCGAAATATAGAAAAATCACTGACAAGATCATGCTATAGACAAAGTAGTGGATGGAAAAAATGCGGATTTGCTAGCAAGGATATGGGGAACTGGTGAAGAAATCTTTGTCGGAGAACAAGCTGGGCCACCTAATAAACCTGACCTCGCAAAGTTATCAACGGATTCATTCAAGTTGTATCGAGAAATGCGAGATTGTCTAAATGTTAGGATCTTACGAGCTATGGGAAAAGGTGATATAGATTACAATAACCGTGTGGTCTTTGGAATATTTGATTATCTTTATGAAATCAAAATGCTTATAATGTGGAAAGGTGGAGTATATGTATATGAGGAACTTGGAAGTTTAAACATTGCTTCTATTCTGGATCACATTCCTATGATGAAAACAGATATGTTAAAATTGCTAGAATTTATGGTAAGCGATCTATACCTCGCTCTTTGCATATATCCCACTTTTTTTGATCACGTTTCCTCTGTGAATCTAAATCTATTTTTTCTTGTTTATAAAACATTAAATTCTGAGAATAATGTTGAACCCCATTAAATTCTCATGCCAATTTTAATTCTTCACTATATCTGTCTAATTGCATTTCATTCAAAAATGATGATTTACAAGATAGAAATTTCTTATCTAATAGATTCTCAAAGATATATCAAGTGGATCTCTCATCTTTAAAATGTGAGATTCATTCAAATTTTCATTTCTAGATTTTATAAGGTGCATGTTATTGATGGATTCCACATGTCTAGAAATATACATTATAACTATTTATTTGATTGGTTTATCAAGATACTTCCTATCACACTTTTCAGCATAAGCTTGCACCTTAGCTATTTTATTTAACAACATGGATGAAATTAATAGACCTGGAACAAGTGTTTTTTTCCAATATACTTTGGGTGGATACTGAAACATATCTATATTTACATGTATAAGCTTTTCTTTTACAAATTCTCACTTTAAAAAATATTCATTATTATTGTTTTCAAGATAATAGAAAATTGGTTTATTTCTTATTATTATGATTTTGTAGATTTTATATAAAGAAGTTAAAAACATCATATTTATAGTCCTTTTTCAATTTTTTATATCTTTATTTACTTTGCATTAACAAGCAGATAATGAATTGTATTACTTTTCTTTAACTTATTTTTCTTATATTTTTTAACAAAATACTTATACTTTATAGATAGCTTAAATTCTATTTATTCCAGTTTAATAGTTTTTGTTGAAGCTAAATTCTATTTTGATAAACTTAAAGCTTGAATAAAACAAGTCAGATAATTATTAAGATAATCTATTACTTCTAACAAATACTTAGTTCATGTTTTTATTGAGCTAAAATTCAAGATTATATTTTTAACATCATATTGAATTTTATAAAGCATCTTTGTTAAAGTTTTATTAAATCTCTTTACAATTGCTATACTATAATAGAAATACAAACCAATAATTCAAATTATTATATCATGTTTTTTTATTAATTGATTTGTCTAACCTATTTATTTTTTATTATTATTATATTATAGAAGTATTAGATATACAAGAAAGTTATTGAAATTATTATAAATTTTTTAAATGCTTTAGCAACTTCAAAAATATTTTTTAATATTAAAAGAATACTTGCTTTAAATCTGCTAATCATGTTTATTATATTAAGCATTGCTATCCATTTTTTATTTTTATAATAATTATGTATAAAAAATAAAAAATTATATTGATGTATACAGTTTGAATGTAGAATTTTTTCATAACCAATTTATAAAATATTTTTTGATAATAGAGCATATTTTTGTTATTTATTTTGATTATACAACTATTCACAAACTTTTTTATATAAAAAATTATATTATTTATCTCTGATAATATTATATAACTTTTGGACATTAAAATGATAACCAGTAGATTAATAATAAAGCATGCTTAGAACAATTTGAAATTTCTTATCTAAATCAATTCTAATAATAAACTTGTTTAATTTACTTATTTTTTATATTACTTATATAGTAAAAATTATGTTTAGCAAAGTCAAAGTTAAGTCAATAATATACAATAAAAAATAGTTATAAAATTTTATTAATTGCATTTCAATAAAATATTTTGAAAACTGATATCTAATCAAAAATTGAAATTGAAATAAATAAATCAAGCTTTGAAATAAATTATCTAACAAAGTTTTTATTAATAAATTAAATAAAAAATATATAAAGAATCTGAAATATACATATATCAGATATATAAATAAAATTCAATCCTTTAATAAAAAATTAAAACAGTTTAAATATATTTCAAAAAAAAAAGATCAAATTAAGATTAGAGATATTATTTCTTAATAAAAGTTTATATTAAATTAAAAAAAAAATTAAAATTAAAATATCTTATATTGATAATACTAAGAATCAATTACAAGAATCAAAAGAGTAGATTTAAAATCTAAGATAGATTCAAAATTATTTTTTTAAAAGAAATTTTTTAAATTTATATAATTTAAATGAAGAAATATATATGGCACATATACAATATATTTATTTATAAATATTATAAAAAAATTAAATCAGTTGAAACATTATTTCAAAGAATATAATATATTATTAAATAATTTAGTTAATATTGTTCAAGATATATATGATACTTTAAATGCTATTTAAACTAATTATCAAAAAAAATCAAAATTTAAATATTATTATAAATTAATATAATAATAAAAATAATCAAATAATTGAATTACAACAGGATATTAATGATTATAAACAATAAGATATTATTTTACAAAATTAAATTAATTAGCTAATTCAAAAGAATTTTTAGAACTAAATCAATTAAATTATTCAAAAATGAAATAATTTACAAAATCAAGTTAATTATCTTACTTGAGAAAGTAATAATTTTTAAAATAATCTTACTTTGATAACAATAGTATATAATAATAAATAAGTAAAGTATCATTATTAATAGAGAATTGTTTAGAAAATAAAAATGGAATACAAATATTTATTATTAATTTATTATTAAATAAGTTTATACTTATTTTTAAATTTAAAGATATCAAAAACATAATAAAGAATTATAACAAAAATATGATATATAGAAATATTTGTAGTATAATATTATCTTGATATTAAAAGAGCAATCTAATTGAAACATATTTTTGAAGTTCTATATGGATTAAAAAACTATTAATTAAAATAAAAATTAAAAAAATGTTAAATAAATAAAAAATTATTAGAATATAATTGTGATTATTTTTTGATAGATATCAAAATAAATTCAAAGATTAAAAGGCAAATCTTATCAAGTAAAAAAATAAAAAATACAATTTACAGTAATTAATTTTAAATTAAATTAACAAATTTTTATACTTCAAAATAATCAACTTATAAATAATTAATATAAAAAAATAATAAAATATATATTAATTCTATTTAATGAAAAAGCTAAAAAAAAATTCTAAAAAATGAATTAGAGATTTTAAGCAATATTATAAAATATTCAAACTTGATTCACATATAGATACTCAAATTAAAATAAGAATTTATAGATTTTTTAAAACTTGTTTAAAAGATAATACAAAATATTAATATGAAACTAATCTCAAAAATAAAAATTGCAAATTGCAAAATATTAGTAACAATACTAACTTGATATATCTTGTAATTATTAATAAATTAGTTAATAATAATGTATTGTACAATATTAATACTAATCAGTTTAGAAATAAAACTTTTTTTTTTTTTTTGGGGGGGGTTCTCCTCATAGGTTAGCATCATTTTTTTTTTTTTTTTTTTTTTTTAACTTGGAATCCTTTTGGAAAAAACCACAATTCTTT